TTTAAAGATTCATTATTCTAATAAATCCATGAAATTACAAAAAATTACAACATCTTCATCATGATTAAAATGTTAAAATTCTTATAAAATTATTTAAATATCTTTAATTAATCAACATATACAAAACTTTTATAAAAAATATTTAAAAAATTTTATAAAAAATCATCACATTCTAATTTTCAATTTTCCCTCAAGCCTTTATTCTTGATCATTGTGAATGAAATTATTTTAGCTGATTATGTAAATATGCATAAGACTTAAATCACATTATGATCAAAGATTACCACAAAATTCATTATAAAATTTTTTATCTTAAAAATTTGTGATAACTATCATTATTTATTATATTACCATATGTTATATGCTCTTGCAAATAAAATATTTTAAATATATATAATTATTAAAATATATACAGAGAATATCACATAATTAAAAAAAATACTAATTTATTATAGTATCAAAATTAACAGCCAAGCATCTTAAAAATTTAATTTTAAAATTCAAATAGCTTAACCTGATGTGTTTTCAGTTGGTTGCAAGTATCTAGCCCTACTTCTTTATGCACACATAAATTTGCCTCCTTTCTCCTATTCCCTCGTCCCCCTTACCACCTTTGCTTCTCTTCGATTCAGTAATTCTCGAATCCCTTTTGGGTCTGATTCCTACATCTTTCTGCAACAAAAATATCCAAACTTTGAACAAAGACTGCAGTTTTCTTGTGGGAGAAAATTCAATTGAATCAACAAAACTAAGGGAGAAGAACAAAGAGAATGGGAAGGGAACAAGAAATGGGTGGTGACCAAGGCAGAGTAGAAAAGGAAAGCACTGCCAGTACCTCCTCTCCTTCATCGACTGAGTCTTTGCTGTTTGCTACTTTGTGCCTTATTGGTCTCCCTGTGGATGTGCACGTTAAAGATGGGTCTGTATATTCTGGAGTTTTCCACACTGCTTCAGTGGAGAAGGGTTATGGTGAGTGGTTGATTTTGACATTTTCTTAGGTCTTTTATTGGGGACTGGTTTTGGGAATCTGTTGAATTTGAAGAAATTGGTTCAAGGTTTTAATTGTTATGGTTTTGGTTTGGATTGAACCAGATCAATTTGGGTTATGTTCCGAATCTTTTTTTGTTGATCTGATTTCTGAGAAAAAGACAACATCTCGTGATTCCAATTGCTGTTTTTTAGATGGGATTTATGCTAAGGGAAGGGGAACACGTTTCTAATCTGATACTGTGTTGCATGAGTAGAGGTGATCTTTTCTTTTGTTAGGGAATTAATAGAATATCGACTCAACATCTTATCCAATTTCTGTGTTCATCATGCAAAAATGGGAGCAGTATGTAATGGACTAATTGTGTTTTTTTTTTTTTTTTCCCTCGTTAAAGGTTTCTATTTGTGGTTGTTATGCTCAAGGCCCATTTATTCTTTACTCTGTTTGGTTAGGCATTGTTTTGAAGAAAGCTAAATTAACTAAAAAGGGTAGATGTAAATCAAATGTGGCAAGTGGGGATGTTGTAGAGACGCTGGTAATCCTCCCAGGTGACTTTGCTCAACTCGTTTCCAGGGTATGTGAATCTTGTATTCCTTCTTTGTTCTGCTATTTTTCTCTTCTAGTCTCATAATTTTATTTATTCCTTCCAAAATTGTCCAGTAATCTGCCTAACTTGTGTATTTTGCTATACAATAGGAAATCCTGCTCTCAGTTGATGGCGTTGCTGGCAATGTAGCCGGTGATAATGCAGAAGCCCAGGGCATTGTACCATTTTCTAATGGTTTACCGGCTAAGGCAAATAAACCTAGAAAATCTGTCATTGATAAAAGGACAAATACTAAGAAAAGGTAATTATACTAAAAGAGATTTTGCTTTCTTCTCTTTTTAGAAAATTTCCTCATTTTTAAAACTTTTTTTCTTCCTTTTTAAACTTTTTAAATCAAACAGTTTCTAATAATTAATTTCATGTTAACAATTAGTTGACTTCCTTTCACCTGGTTTAAAGTTATACTTTTTCTCTTTTTTTCCCCCTTGATTTCTTCTAGAAATGAATGTATATTTAGGTTGTTCCATATTTTCCCAGAGCTATGTCTTTTCAGTTTGCTATTATGGATTTTATAAGGTACTGATTCTTTAATTTATTAACCAGGAGTTCAATCCAAAATGAGAATGATATTGCTAATGGTTTTATATGGACAAAAGCTGGGAAGGAGAATGAGGGGGAAAAGTTGCTGCCAGATCACATGGGGTATGGCAAGGGACGTGAGTTTGAGAAAAGAGATGGGACAATCACTGGCCAGGTGAATTTTCTATCTCTAGCTCTTCTTCAAGCTCCTTCTCTGTATTTGATAAATATGTAAAATTGAGTATCTAATAGATATTAGAATCTCTTCTATTTTCTCATCATGAAAAAGTGGACTGTGTGAGACCTCAATACTACTTTCATTTGATGCTTCCTAAGATAAGTGTTTTTTTTTTTTTTAGCAAAACTCTTGTTCTTCTTTTAATGCTTCCAAGGTAAGATCTAATCAGATGGCCTAGCGCGGAGGAGTTATAAAGTAGTGAATCAATTTGGCAAATGGGATACCTTGTCACTTATGTGAGGGCATATTGACTGATGTGAATGAGTTTGTTGCTGTATCTATCATCCTTTTTTCTTTCAAACTTTTCACTCTATTTTACTTTGACTTGATGCAGAGCAAAGAAACCAATGGTGCTCCATTTGCTACAAGGCATGATATGTAAATATCTTTTCAGTTCTATCTTGTTAGTTTGTGTAGGAGTGTTATCCTCATGATACAAAAGTGCAGTCATTTTTGTCTGTGACCAACACGTATTCTGAAACTCTATCTTTTTAATGTTGCTATTATAGCAATCTCCTTTCTCATTCTGCCAGACAGGTTGAAGATGACATGATGCAACCTTTGCAGGATGATTTTAACCAGAAGTTTGTGTCTAATGTGAAAGAAAGTGTATGTATTGAGAAACATAGCTGTTTCCTGCATATCTAGGACCATGAATGTTGTATTCACCCTTGTAATTTTTTTGTGCAGTCTGGGGAAGTTGAAGGTTCAAACCCAAGCTGTGAGTTCTATGTCTTTGTCAATTTTAGTCTGTTTGGAATTATTGTGTCCTCCTTTGCACAGAAATGATATTCCTTTCCGTAGCTCTGAAAGTTTCATAACTTTAATGGTAAATACATCATACTTGCTTCTTCTTGGTAATTGCATATTCAAGACTATGGTGTAAGAAGGAAAAAAGTAACCATGAGATACACGTGAATTATGATTCCCTGGTATATGGTAGAATTTATTATCTTGGTAGATTACTAGTGATATTTTCTTGCTCACTTTCATGCAGACTTTAAGTTTCATCTTATGGGACACCCCAATCATGCATCACTTCTTCCAATCTGTTTTATAATTTTGGACTTTATTACCTGCAGCTGAAGCCTGCCCTATCCCAGTAAAACCCATCAGGGAAGGAAATGCAGAGAAGACATGCAAGCTGTTGCACTTTGGAGCATCTCATGAGGCTACTGCAGTCATTAAACCACAATCCTTTGAGAGGTCAGCAGACACTTTCCAAGATGCTGTCCACTCAAGTGTTTCAACTTCTTCAACTCCAGTTACTGATGTTACTCTAGAATCACATGGTGCTTCACTGACAACTATAGTTGAAATGGTCCCTCCTCAAAATTCAGAATCTAATAAAAGCTCAAAGGTAAAGCATGTATTTATCAACAATCATATTAGGGTGAATTTGTAATGGTTACCTTTTGCATGTCTTATGGCTATACTGTAAAGCATGTTAGTAATAAAATTGTGGATGACCTTTGTATTTCATTTCAAAACAGTGCTCAATACCAAAAATGATAGCAGATGCAAAGTTTTTGCCTAGTTATTAGCATCTTCTATGCTATTATTAATCAGTCATCTCAGGCTCTATCATTGGTACTAGTTATTAAGGGGCAATATTTCCTAGAAATTCCTTGAGATCATGATATAGTCTTGCTTAAGAAAGTCATGGTCTTCTTTCTTAACATCTTCCACAGGAATTTAAGCTTAACCCAGAAGCAAAGATTTTCTCTCCGTCTTTTGTAAATCCCATATTAGTTGGCCCTCCTGCAGTGCCAACAGTTCCAAACACAGGTTACATGCCAGGCAACTCTCCCATGTTTGCTGGTGCTGGTTCACAACCAGAAGTTGGAATGGGTCCGTTTGCTCCTCATTCATCTGCACCAACCAAGTTTCGACAGTACACTAACATGACAGCTGGAAATGGTGTCACTGGTCCTCGATTTTTGCAACCTGTATGTTTTCTGGGCTTTAATGGGTTTTTGCATCTTGAATTTGGTTGAAATTATTTTCTGATACTTTTGATGACTGGACTTAGAACTTTTAGTGGCAAGGAGGTTGGGATTTCTGCCTTAAAAATAGAAGATGCAAGTCATTAAGCCATTAGGGAGCTCTTTCTTTTTGGTTCTTGGCCAGTAATGAAATTTAGGGTCTGTTTGATGCAGCTTCCCAAGTGCTTCAGCATTTTGACACTATTCATGTTTTATAAGATTAAATTTCCCTCCTAAAAATTTACATTTTTAAATATTTTTTTAATCTTAAAAAGATCCTAAACAATAAAAGATCAAAAGCTTCAAATTCAAGCTTTTCATAAACTTCCTTTTTACTCACTTTTACTATCTCTAAAAGCAACTTTTAAATTTTCCCTCCAATAAAAATTTAAACTTATCACAGCTCCAACAAGCTGCACCAAACAGGCCCTTGAACATTGTTCAAATACCCATATGTGCTTTTGCTTGTAGTAAAGTCAGTGAGGAAGATTAGTCCTGTAATAGGCGTTGTAATTGGATTCCCAGGAAGAATATGCTCTACGATTAGCAATTGAATCATCACAGACTGTTGGAGAAGGCTAGTTCATTAGTAAATAGAAATTTGGACGTTTGTTTCTCTCTTCTTCACATTCCTTGTTTTGTCACATTTAATTAGTTGAATCAGTCATCACAATTCACAAGCAATGAGAGTGGGATTGCTCTTTAAAATCCCTTTTTTTTTTTGGCTGTATTTGAATCTATGAAGCTGCTTCTGAGACTGCATTCTTCACCTCCCCCCCCCAAAAAAAAAAAAAAAAAAAAGCTGTTTGCAAAGCAGCATTGTGCTTGAAAATCATAACAAGTTGAAGACATGGAGTAGAGAATTGTTTTTATATTTTGATTATTTTTCCTGACAAGATGTTTCTTTTGTTGGCTCAGATTGTTGGGCATATAGGAGGCAGGGCCCAGCCACTTAGATATGCTGGTCAGTACCATCCCACTCAGGCTGCACCACCAGTCTTCAATCCAAATTCTCAAGCTGTATGTTGTAGAAGAGTTATTTATCATCTCCACTGCCCACATTTTTTACAGATTACCTCAGTTGATTGTCTCATCATTCATTAGTTTCTTAATCTCTCTCTCTCTCTCTCTCTCTCTCTAGGCTATGGTTGGACGATTGGGGCAGCTTGTCTATATGCAGCCAACTACTCATGTAAGATGTTTTGCCCACAATGTAATAAAACCTAAATTTGCATTATTCTGACATGGGCATTCCCCATTTACTAGCGGAAATGTCGAATACCTGTCTGTAGCCTAGTTTTTCATAGTAGCAGTCCCAAAACATTTGCATTTTTTCCTCCTAATCTTGGTGTCCCAATTGATGCATCTTAAAGTGTTTCTTGGCTTAGTTTAGATTTCTTGATCACCACATTCACTGTGAATATGATGAATTCTCTTCATGTTTTCTCAGTTCTTTTTATCTTTACTAGCATTTAGACAGGAATCTGATCCATGAAGTGAACTATCATTTTTCCCATCCTCATTTAATCACATTCAACACATTATGCTTCTTGGCAAAACAAAGAGCATAACAAGTTGAATGTGATTAAATTTGATCAAACTTGGAGTAAATTATTGTGATCTGATTTTTTTGATGACAAAAATGAAATGGTATATAGGAAAGGAAAAAGAAAGTCATTCAACATATACACTTTTCTAATTTCCTGATTACTAAGTTGTGCTTTATTTTATGCTGGAAGGATTTGGTCCAGGGTGCAGCAGGTATCTCACCAATACCTCCAAGACCTTCATTTACTCCACACCAAGTCCAACACCAAGGTACGTATACGTCTTGAGTTTTCATGGACTCGGCAATTATTTTTAAACCCCAAGAAATCTGTTTCTTATTCGCAATGGAATGACATTTTTTTTTCCTTAAGCCCAATAATCTGTTTCTTATTTTTAGTGGAATGTAATTTTTTTTTCCAAAGAATTCCTTGTTAAAAATTGCAGGAAATTCGGCAGGCCAAGCATTGCAGCTTTGTATGCCTCAGCCTTATATGCCCCCTGGACAACAACCATTAGCGGTACCAAGTCAAATTCCACTTATGCAACCTCCTTTCCCTGCTACTCGTCCCACGCCAGGGACAGCAGTATCTAATGGCCATTTTGGTGCTAAGCTTCCCTAGATATTCTGTTACTTCATCAGCCTTGTTTTGCATTCTATTTTTGAAGATAAGAAAGAGATTTTGGCCTATAGGTTTTTTTCTTTTTCTTTTTCTTTTGGTCAATTTTGTATACTGGGCTTGAGGAGCAATGGGACTGCTTTTTCCTATAGAAGACCGGTGACCTATATTGTGATCTAGAATTTGTCCTTCGTTTTCATTTTGGTGCTGAGGAAGTACCCTTTGAGCAACATATCCACCTAACACGGTGTCCCTTTTTCTTTTATATAACTGAATTTTATGAAAATTTTCCTGTGTTCTTCATTAAATTGGTGTAAGCATGTTGCATTATTCTGCCTAGTTTATATGTCAGAACCATCGAAATCAAAAGGGCAGATGGATGCTGGATAGGCATTATCCTTGGAAGTTTCATCCATCAAGATATTGACCATGAATCAACGAAAACAACCATTTAAACAAGATTAGCTTTATCCCTAAGAGGGTAACTCGATTGTTAAGAGTTTGTTTCCCTATTGTATGATTCATTTAGATGTTCCAAAAAAAAAAAAAAAAAAAAAAAACAGAGATTAACTTCAGTTATACCACTTATGAAGATGAGGCTGTAAAAGCTAGTTTCTCTTTCGTCCAGTCCTATATGTGCTGAAGCCTGAAATGGCTTGGTTCTATCTCCTACACAAGTAAAATGTTCTATTGCTCGAGGTCTGACTAAAAGCTGACACATTGTCAACAGAAACCTCTTTACAACCTTTAAGAGGCAATTTTCTGGTTCACCTGGCCTATTTTAGGATCACAAAACTTCTCCATGATTGTTTTCTACAACAAGAGAATTAAAAGGATAGGACTGCCGGTAATGGTCACAGTCAAATCAGATGCTTTATGCCTTGGAAGGTTTCTTGGGATCAATTCTCTGCAAGTGCAGTTTCTCTTGGAACACAGGCTGCTGAGGTGGCCTGGGCTGTCTGGTTCTCCCTCATGTTTTCCTGCACAGCCTTGAAAGGGAGGGTGTATTCAGTTTCTATGTATTGAAACTCAGGTGCATAAAAGATTAAAAAATGGGAATAACGTTTGAGTTCTGTTTTATTATACCTGCAAAAGCTCAGTCATCTTGCCGAATTTATAATTCTCCAAAGGTTTGAATGCAGGGACAGAGTAGTCATGCTGTACAGCTTGCAGTGGTTTGATAGAGAGAGGCTTATTGTCTTCGAGGCTGTGAACAGGATCTTTCCCAGATAAATTACCAGCGTGAGCCTCAACTGGCTGTGAGGAGGCCCGAACTCTTTTCATGACTTCAGTTAAAAGTTTCTCAAACGGCATACCAGGTGATCTCATAGACTCAGCTTCTGCCTCCACTGACACCTCCACTGGGGGTTGATCACAAGTACCAGCTTCACTTTGCATTCCTTTTGGCAACAGCTGGTGGTCATTTTGAGGTGGAGCAGGGAAACTTTGGTTTCCAACAGTTGTCATCTGTCCAGTAGTTGTTGCCCCACTGGTTGCATGCACAGCTTCTGACAACTTTTTGCTTCTAGAGGCTACCAAATGGGGAGGTTGGCTCATAACTTGAACTGGTTGGTTGATTATTGATCCACCATTCGGCAACTTAACAGGTTGGAGCACAACAGGCACCAGAGTACCCCTCGAGATTGTTGGACTAGCAGTATGGGTTGTTACTGAGTGTACCTGTTTGCCTTTTGACACTCCAAAATTAACAGCACCCTGTGCAGCTCGAGGGAAATTGTTGGCAAGTTGCAGTTCAGTTAATGGTTGAGGACTTCTGTTTCTTTTAGACTTGACATGCTGCCCATTCCTCTCTTTTAGAAAAGGAATAACATTTCTTCTGATCATTGGAACATTTGGGGCTACATCATTTTCTGCTGAGACAGGTACAACATGTCCAGGCTTGAAGACAACACCCCTCAAAGCAGTTTTTGAGTTTCCAACCCTAACAGTGAGTAGATATCCTGCATCAATTGCTGCCTCAATAACACCATTAACTACCTGACCCACCATCATATCATTTGCATTATTGCCTGGAGTTCCATTATTGTTTTGATTGCTGTTCACCACATCAAATCCAGGCGGACAACGGGCATTTTCTTCTTGATTCTGATTCTGAATCCTCAGATCATGAGCATTCTCTGTGTGATTTAGATGTAGTCTTGGATACTTTCTTGGACGACCCCGTGTCCGCTTCACAGAGAAATCTGCTGGAGGAACAGGGTTATTTCCTTGGTTGTCTTGAGTCATTATATTACTCCTGGGAGAGTGGCTTTCCTTCTCCATAGATCTTTAATACCGTTCTGATCCTAGAGAAAGTAGATAGCTAATGTTAAATTTTAGCAATCCCAAAAATGACAAAGTCTAAGTAAATGCATATGCTTTAAATGAATAAGCCAAGAACAGTTCTGTCTCTCCTATCTTAGCAGACAAAGATTTAGGAGTTCACTATAAAGTAAATACTATTAAATCCCAGTATTATACAAAAAGGAAAGGGAAAAATGGCTATGTAAAAGAATCAAACTTAACAAAAACAACATTTTGCATAGACTAGAAAATAAGGATATCTCCAAAAACTCAATTCACAGAAACCACCATCTCAAAGTCCAAGAGAAACTTAAAATCTCTGATACAAGCCTTACAAGGTTCACAGGGGCTCATACTAATCAAAGGGTCTTAAACTAAATTCTCCTTTACAACAGAAACACTTTCCTATCTGACTTGCCGAGCCCTTGTAACATTTTCGCTGAATATGTATGTCATCACAAAAGTCCAACATCTGAGCCAGACTCAGAAAAAATAAAGCTTGGGCCATCTAAGGAAACAGCTTCAAGTAAATTCCACCTCTAGCTCACTAAATAGACCCTTAGTGAGTTTCTTTTACCTCTTTTGTAATATCATTCCTTTCGGAGTTTGATGCCTAGAGGAAATTCTCTATAAAGTGCAGCTAGTGAAAGCAACTAAGAAAGAAACTACATAAGACAAGGGAAAAACAAAACAAATCTGAAATAGGATAAACATGCTTTCCCTCTTCTATCAGTTATTGTATTGTAGCTTAAGTTCCAAAAAAGTAAAAATCGCAGGTGGTCATATTTGACCAATATTCTAGCACTTTGCATGTCCTCCTAAAAACTAACTCCCCTTGCAGGGGCAAAAAAAAAAAAGATTAAGATTCTTCAGAAATTCCAACTCTAATAGGAAGTATGTTTCACATATTCATGCTCTGTAAGTGTTTTTATAAAGCCCAGTTACTCTTAATGAAAAAAAACACATCCATATGCACACCTTCACAGTATAAGCGGTACAAAGAAATAAAGTCAAAAAAAAAAAAAAAGCGACAAAAAAAAAAGGGAAACAAAGTGAGACTACATACAACCACCCACCACACACAGACACACAGAAAAAACAGTAAAATTGCAATAAAAAACAAAAATTGTGTTACAATTAAGAGAGGTATGGTGGAGGCAACCCATTAAAGGCACCCAAGCTTCTGAATCCATATCACCCCATCTCCATAACTATCAAAAACCTAATAGAGAAGCAAGCAGTGTACCTTTTACAGCATTGAAACCATTGCAATAAAAATAAATCCTGCACAAAGGCACAAACCCAGTTAGAGAAAAAAAAAAAAAAAACCCAATTGAAGAAATAAAAAGACTGAAAATTTTCAAATGGGTAAGGAACCAAATGAACAAAAAATGATAAATTTCCAAACTTTGACTGGAAATTGAGACAAAAACCTCAAATTTTGCAAAAATTTTATTGGGGCTTTACAAAGCAAGGAGAACTAATGAGGCAAAAAAACAACAGCTTTCTATGTGTATATATAAAAAAAGGCTAACCTTTTGGGTGGCGTGTTTAATTTCAGTGGTGTCGTTTAACACGAACACAAATTTTTGTTTTTATTTTTTATTTTTAAAAAAAAATCAACCTGATGAGATTTTTGTTTCCTGATTTTGTGTTTTATTATTATTATTATTTCTTTACCTTTCATGGGCGAAAAGAAGGAGGGTAATGGCTACAGAGGCTGTACTTTGAGATACTTAACAAACGAATCATGGAGTGCCATGTGTAAAGATAAACGTTCCGTTAAATAAGTTGACACGTGGCGTTAAAATATTGGAACTCATTTTTAATGTAGATGACCTGGGGTGACACGTGTATTTTAGACGGGTCAAAGGATGGAACCAGGGGGCAAGGCAGAGGGGATATATGTAACTGAACCGTTACAACAATAAATTAAGGAATTTTTTTAGGGTGTGTTTTGTATTTATTATTATTATTATTTATTAATTAATATGAAAAAATAAAAATTAATTTAAATTTTATTAATTATTTGATTAAATTGTTACAAGTAAGATTGTTGTTAAAAATAAAACTTAATTTATAATTTTATGTATAAATTAATTAATAGTAAAAAATGTGTAAAAAGTGCAAAGAAAATGTGGACTTGAATTTTTTATTTTTT